AGATCCTATTCTAACCGGAATCAAACTCTCATTTCCTATTATTTGTAGTCATGACGTGCCTTGAAAAGCTTCCTCTATAAACAAGAAGAATCAGGGTTCCAATTATAATAATATCGATCTGGCTTGACTTCACCATTGGAAATTTGCATTCAAAGATATTGAGTAGTCTGTTAGTTAAGTAGTAGTAGTAGCATGAAGTGAACGGGACCATTAAAAAATCAAAAAAATGAGGAACTTCGCCATACCTAAACTTTCGATTTTTCTGAAAACGGATGTCGTAGAAGTTGTAAGCAAAGCCAAGAAACCAAGAACATTTTGAGACCGCCGAATTGTACAATATCGGTAAGAAAGGTATTGATGTATGACACTCGAAACCATCTGTTTCTGCTAAAAGCCTAGTGTACAATACTAATAGCTTAATAATATCTACTCAATAATAAAACTTTTGGGAGCTGGAGGAGAGTGTGGGAGGTTTGCAGTCATGAAAATATACGGTTGAAAAGATATTCTGAGAAGAATGTCAACCGCCATTAACCCTGATAGACGAGCAGATCCCTTATGGCAAGGCTTGCAGAAGCATTCTGACGGCAACCAACCAGCTGACTGGCCGGTTGCGGAGGCCGATCACATGTCCGCCCGGTCATGCCACTCTTCTTAACAGCTAACATTGCACTCACTGTTCGTTCCGTTTCATTCAGTCTTCACTGCTTTCGTTCATCCTGTTCCCACTCACGTTGATTGGAATTTTTTAAAACTTTTTTTCTCAATTTTTCCCAAATTCGTTTGGCATAATTCATAACGCCTTTACCGTAATTGTGATTATTTACTTAATACTTTTTGTTTGAATTTTAGTTGGTTATTATTTACCCGAGTTATGTCGTCTATTTCTCATTCTGACTACATCCTGTATGAGGTCTCACTTGACAAGAGCCAGGTGTTCTAAAGTTCTTTGTTTTTCTCGAAAACAATTTCATAAATAGCCCAATTAGCCTAAATAGATCGAAACTGTATTATGCCGTATAGGAAATGATACGATGTAATAATATAAGACAAAATAATACAGAGGAATTCAATTTACCACAACACAAAGCCGGGGAAAGGCATCCCTCTGATCATTTTCAGTTTTACGAAATAGATGGAGCCAATTGGAGCGTCAAGGAAGTCTGTTCGTTTCCGTTTTGTCATTTTGG